CTGAGGATAATTGAAACAAAACAAGACAGAAGTGGGTGTTTTGTTGGATTGTTAAGATTGAAGCTTTTGATTGATTGACCCAGTGACTGATATATAGAGAGAGAGAGAGAGAGAGATGTTTGTAAATATTTCATTATGTAATGAGTTATGAAGAGATTTTGTTCTGGTGTGTTTGTATGTGTTTTACATATAGATGTTTTCTTTTCTCACCGTATAACATGTGGATGTTTTAGGTGAGGAAGATCCGGCTATGAGTGACATCTAGAATGTCAACCATTGAGTTGTGGGTGTGCTCTGATAGCTAAATTTGTACATGTATTTAGAGTTATACCTTCTCTTTTGAAAGCAATTTGTAAACTCTCAAGTTTTACTTTCTAAATTTCATTTTTAATTATTTTGGTTATTTTTGAAGGTTTTATGTGAACCCTTTTACCAGCGTTGAATATTTTATTCTTTAGTTTATTTACAATAATTATTTATATATGTGTTGGGATAGTAATGGTGTCACAACTTCAAAGTTGTTGATGTCCTTAGTCAACTTTGTTCCACACATTTGTTATCATCAAAACCTTTAATCTTCAGAGGTGATCTCAACAATCTCAATCTCCCCCAATCTCAACAATCTCCCCCTTTTTGATGATGACAAACCAAGCTAAACTAAGCCATTTTGTCCATTTTGCTTTGCCTTTTCTTTCACATTCAAAACCTACAAAACAAACCAAGCACAAAACCTTTCTCCCCCTTTGGACATCATCAAAAACAAACCAAAATTGTTATGTCCAGAAGTATAAGCTTCATGCACACTTCCTTATATGCTCAAAACAATACCACAAAACATAACATAGGTATTGGTCAGCAAAAAAAAACTTTGTGAACTTGAATCATAATATCCAAGCCATAAGCATCAGATCAGCAACAATAACACGAATTGGTTAGCCAAAACACAAGATACAATCCATCATCACAATTCAAAGTCCAAAGTCATTATCAAATATGCCAACCAAACATCACAGAACCATATATCAATGTTCAAAACAGAACATCATACCACCAATCAACCAAATCAGAATTGTCAAACCATTCAAACACAATATATCAGAAATCAAACTTCAAATTCCAACTGAAATCAAATTGTTCAACAGCATAAAGCAATAAAATTGTTCGAGAATTAAAGCGATTACAACCCAATCGAAAATTAAAACTAAAAACCAGAAATTTAAACTTCCTAATTTAAACAGAACACTAATCACTCCGAGTCCTCAAGCATCCCAAGATGAGTCTTAAGTCGGTTAATTTCATGATCAAGGGTGTCAAACCGATCAAGAATACCCGAATATATTGACTCGTGCCTTCTAGACATCTCCATAACAGCATCAAGCTTATTAATCATAATTTTCTCGAATGGAGAGAATGGTTTAGGCTCCGCTTCTTGCTCTCTGTCTGGTTCAGCTTCGACCTATGGTAGCTGGTCCTCATCATGAGATGGAACGCCATCCTCATCTGTTGCCAGTTCAGGGGTTGGAGGGGCATCTCCTTTGAATACCCACTTATCTTCCTGTTTTAGCATCCCCATGTGATGCAAGGAAGATTTTTCAATCTTATTAGAAGCATGTAGAATAATCTTCTTCTCCCCTGTCAAGTCTACCCCTGCATTCTCAAAAATCTTAGATAACAATAAGGCATAAGGAATTGGACCATCCTCTTTCCTTCTGGCCTTCCACATGTAGTCATTCACCACCGACACCTAATCAATCTTAATTTTCTTTTTAATAACATGCATCAGCAAAATGTCATACCTCGACATTTGAGCATGGTTGTGCAAACGCGGTTGAGCATGGTTGTCATACCTCGACATTTCTCTGACAATCTCTAAATGTCGTCAATTCCTCAAAATCACCAAAGTTGAAGGGTTGGGGTTTGGTACTCCAATTGCCGCTCAGCCCGGCAGCCGCCTTCAAGGTTGGCCCGTCAAGCTTTATCAGCTTGCCCTTCACGACTGATTGCATTATCCCTTCATTACTGGTAGCAAAGTAGAGAAACAGGCTGATCAGCTCAAGGTAGTAGGGTCCTTCCAGTTCCAACAAATTTCCAAGGTCTTGGTGCTCTAGCAGAGTAGGGAAGCTAAACCCTTCATTTTTGAACCATTCCAACTTCAGGGTTTTGGGAGGGATGATTCTCCGAAGCGCATACCATTCGAAGTAATACTCCTGGGTTTTCTCATCCGCAAACCATTTGGATATAAGTTGCCCCGAGGACAGAGGACGCTTGCTCCCCCTCACTTCCAGCTTCTTGGGTCTTTTGGAGGAAGAAGCCATGGATGGGTTTTGGTAGAGGTGAAGAGAATGAGAAAGATGAAGAGGTTAGGGTTTGAGAGTTGAGAGAATGTGAGGATTTGAAGGAATGAGAGGGTATGGAGGTTCTTAATGCCCTAGCACGTTTCTGAGTGGGGAGAGGTTACTCAACTGAAGAATAATGGGAAGTTAAGGGTTTGGCGCGCATAAAAACCGTTCAAAATGCTTTTGAAAAACCAAACGTCGCGCAAATAATCAATTATTCATACAAATAATCGATTATTTGTATCAGTAAAAACCTTTAAAAATCCTATATGCACTAAATAATCGATTATTTTTGGAATAATCGATTATTCCAGAGGGTTGTTTTCTTAACTTTGCCCAGATAATCGATTATTTGTGAGATAATCGATTATTTCAAAGGCTTTTCATATTCTTCTTCCCAGGTAATCAATTATTGCCCCAAATAATTGATTATTACAGAGGCTCTTGGAATTCTTCGTCTCCCAGATAATTAATTATTACCCAAATAATCGATTATTATTATGGGCTCACTTCAAAACCAGTGTTTAGAAAATATCCGCTGCAAACGGTTTTTGGCGACCGTAGATCCGGTGGTTATTGGTGACGCCGGTAATGCAATTTGTGGCGGTTTTTAACCGCCAAAAACTACAAAAATAACCGTCACAAATCACACATTTTTTTTGTAGTGCAAGTAGGAAAAAAGATAACAGAAAGAGTAAAAATGATTGAAAATGAATATATAAATTAAACAGTGAGATTGAAAATGAAAGTACAAGGGAGAGGTAATTTTATATAATTTGATGATGACATTGTTTTGTTCCATCCAGTTATTTTGGGACCCACTAGGAAACTACCATGCACCTTCCTCCCCCAACATGACTTATGTAATCTTTATTGACATTTGTTTCTGCCTCCCACGCAGTTTCATCGCAACTCCCTCAAAAGCTATAGTTTCCTTATAAATGATGTAACACGTCTCTATCTTTTCGTTCGCCTTTCACGTTATATTAAAAGCTACTTCAAGTGTTCCATGACTTCCATCCCTCGATATTATTTATGTTAGAAGAGGCCATTTAGTCATTTAACTTTTCACATTCGCTATCAATTGTAATGGCTACCGAGAGAACTCTCAAGCCATCCAAGTGGTTCTCGAACAAGAGTCTCAAGCTTAGTCTTCATCGCCGAAGATCATCAAGATCCTCCAACTCATTATCATCGAGTTCTCCAAGATCCCCCATGTCAGTATGCACAACCCCCAAGAATGGAGAGAATGGCCTCATGGAAGCTTTTCGCCACTTTGATGGTGATGGAGATGGCAAAATCTCAGCCTATGAACTAAGGTCATATTTTGGGTCCATTGGAGAGCACATGTCTCATGAAGAGGCTGAAGGGGTGATCCATGACCTAGATTCCGATGGGGACAACTTGTTGGACTTCAAGGATTTCATGAAGCTGATGAAGAAGGATGGTGGTGGTGATGATGAGGGGGATCTAAGAAAGGCTTTTGAGATGTTTGTGTGGGAGAAAGAAGGGTGTGATTGTATCACCCCAAAAGGGTTGCAAAGGATGTTGCACCGCCTCGGAGATGATAAGTCCTATGATGAGTGTGTGGCCATGATTGATGCCTTTGACATTGATCACAACGGGGTCCTTGATTTTGATGAGTTTTACCAAATGATGGCCTAATCAATCAACAATCTGTTGATTCATATCTAGTATGCATGTTTTTTTTTATGTATATGGTTCTTGTTCAATCCAAAACAGGATCAGCAATTGCAAAGTTGCGGGGTTTTAATGGATATGCTTCAATACTTGAACTTTTATGTAAATATGTAGAGGTGACCTGTTATATTTTCAAATAAAACAATGTTTATTGAGATTTCTTAAATGCGTTTAATATATTTTTTAAAATTATCGGTGCGAAGTGTTCAACAATTGGGACTGTCCAAGTTGCGGATAGAAGGAATGAGTAGTAGTGACGATTGAATAGTATTATGCAGAATGTCTTATATTTGAATTATGATGTGATTATTGTAATAAAGACGATTTAAATTATAAAAAATTTATTAATTTTATTGATGGTTAATATTTACTAATAAATTTATCTAATTATTTTTATCGAAATCTCTTTTCTTAATACATTTTTTATATATTATCCACTAAATTTAAATTCAAAACTTAAAACAAGAGACCGAACTAACTAGTTATTGGTTAAATGTATACAGATTATTATATATAACTTTTTTTTTTTGTATTTTCACCAAAATATTCTAAATTAATGGTGATTTTCAGGTTCTTTGTGGGATTTGTTTGTACGAATTAATTTATGAGAAATGTTAATAACATATGTACAGGTAGGGGCGTTCGGCCACCAGCCTATCGGTCGCCGAATGGCAGAACCGGATAGCCAAACGCCAATCGGCCACCAGGATCGGCCTATTATCACTTGTTACTCTTAATCAAAGATTAGGGGTTAATTAGCTGATTAAGGTGTTTTACCTAATACGGTAAATATGTACAGGGCCCATAAATGTCAGTATAAATAGCTCAGGTCAAAAGGTAACGTCACTGTTCATTAATTATCCTAGATATTCGTGCTTGTCCTGACTTGAGCGTTGAAGTGCCTTTTGCAAGTACCAACCCCTTCACCAGCGTATCGGATCGGAGCTCTCGTTTGGCCTTTGGACTACTAGAAGACTTACTGTGGCCATCAGACAGGTACATTTGGCGCCCACCGTGGGGCCGAACTGAGACATTTGTGAAGATCAATTGAGCGAAACAATGGCGATAACAAGGAGAACGAATACGGCAGATCATCAGCCCGAGGAGGAACATGTCGAGGTCATGGACGAGACCGATCTATCTGAGACCATCCGTCTATTGAAACAGGAGATGGCCGCGCTGAGACAACAACGGGAGAAGGATGCAAAGGAGCTCTCGGCCTTAAGAGCCGAGAATGAGGCATTGAAAAGCCAAGATCCGTCGTGGAAGCCTACTCGGGCAACCAACATGCAAACTCAGGGGTCCTATCAATCCCACGAAGTTCACACCTCGGCCCCACACGCCTCGGTAGCACTCGAAAAGCTACCTTCGGCCCAACCAACGGTTGGTCGGCCAACAAACTTGGCAACCATTGGAACACATCGTCACCCCTTCACCTTTACTATCATGCAACTCCCATTAATGGATAACTGGAAATCTTTGCCTATCGATAAGTATGACGGTACTACAGACCCTGATGAACATCTTGATATTTTCCTGACGTAGGTAACGCTGAGCACAACTGACGATGCTGCATTGTGTCAGATTTTTCCTACATCACTCAAGGGCAGGGCCTTGAGTTGGTTTACGCGGCTCCCTCCCAACTCCATCGATTCCTTCAACACTTTGTCATCCCAGTTCACAATTCAATTTGCAACGAGTCGTCCTCACAGTCTGACGTCCCTGTCTCTTGTTGGCCTCCGGCAAGACAAGAAGGAGTCTCTTCGAACCTTTATGGATCGGTTCAACAAGGCAACCCTGGAGATCCGGGACCTCAATCCAGCTGTGGCACTCCATCACCTCACAACAGCGTTGAAGCCTGGACCATTTGTTAACAGCATTTGCAAGAAGCCCCCTTCGGACATGAGTGACCTACGAAGGCGGGCTGACAAATACATGCAGATGGAAGAATTAGCATAATTTTGAAATCCAGCCCGAGCCGAACAACCGGGTAAACCCGAAAAGCCAGTAGAACAAATACACAGAGCGCGAGGCAAAGAGATAACGCTTCGGGACCGACCCGTGCGAGGTCCCAAATATTCCCATTATACTCCCCTTAATGCAAGCCGGGCTGTAGTGCTGGAACAAGCTTTGGCGTCAGAAGTGTTGGCGGTCCTGAAGAGAGCTTCCACTCCGCCACGTGCTGATACCAGCAAGGTTTGTAGGTATCACCGCAACCGCGGACACTCCACCGAAGAATGTGCTGCTTTAAGGGATAAAATTGAAGATTTGATTAAACAAGGCAAGAGGCTCAACTTTGCATAGGAGAGTCATTAATACAATCGCAGGTGGGTTTGCTGGCAGAGGCTCAACTTCTTCAGCCCAAAAAAGACACCTCCGAGCCATTCGATCAGTTAACATTGTTGATAGACAACCTTCTCAGCGATTGCCAACAATAACTTTCACTGACAGCGATTTTTAGGGCATTGATCCGGTGCAAGACGATCCGATGGTGATTAGTGTGGAAATTCATAATTGTATAGTCAAGAAAACACTGGTTGACCAGGGCAGTTCGGCAAATATCTTGTATTGGAATACCTTTAAGCAGTTGGGTATCTCTGAAAGAGAGTTGATCCCTTATGAAGATCCCTTGGTCGGTTTTGCAGGAGAGAGGGTAAGCACCAAAGGGTATATTAAACTTTTCACTCGTTTCTGTTTTGACGAGCAGGAAAGCAGGGAAATTCAAGTAAAATATATTGTGGTAGATGCCAATACATCTTATAACATCCTCCTTGGTCGACCATCATTAAACATGCTAGGGGCAATTGTCTCAACTCCGCACCTAGCAATGAAGTTTCCATCCGACAAGGGGAAGATCATCACAATACACGCCGACCAAAAGGCCGCTCGGGAATACTATTTTGCTAGCTTACGAGTAGCTCCCATGGAGGAAGGAAGTTCAAAGTCCAGAAGGGTTCATGCTGTTAACCCTTCGGCATCGGTTGATGAACTAGTGTGGGATCTTGACCCAAGAATGAATAATGAGGAACGTGTAGAGCCAATTGAATTAAAAGCCCCGCTACAGCTCGGGTCTCAATCAAATCAGGTTACGTATATTGGTGCTGATATCCGAAGAGGATCGTGTCGCCCTGGGACGTATAATAATGAAAAATAGAGATCTCTTTGCATGGGCACCGTCCGACATGCCCGGCATAGACCCAAGTGTCATGTGTCACAAGTTATCAGTTTGTGCCGAGGCGAAGCCGATTGCTCAGCGTAAAAGGAAAATGGGAACGGACCGGAAACTTGCAGTTGAGACTGAAGTTGCAAAGTTGCTCGAAGCCAAATTTATCCGAGAAGTTCACTACACCACTTGGTTGGCCAACGTGGTAATGGTAAAAAAGCCAAATGGAAAATGGAGAATGTGTACTGACTACACCAATCTCAATAAAGCATGTCCAAAAGATGCTTATCCACTCCCAAATATCGATCGGCTAGTTGACGGAGCCTCCGGACACAAGATCCTCACTTTTCTTGATGCTTATTCGGGGTATAACCAAATTCGCATGCATCCCTGAGATGAGGAAAAAATGGCCTTTATAACTGATTCGGCCAACTATTGCTATCAGGTAATGCCTTTCGGGTTGAAGAATGCAGGGGCAACCTATCAGAGGTTGATGAATAAAGTTTTTCGACACCAACTTGGTAGAAGCATGGAGGTGTATGTCGACGACATGGTCGTTAAATCCCATGACATTGCTCACCACGTAGCCGATCTTTCAGAAGTGTTCCAACAATTGCGCCGATATGACATGCGCCTGAACCCGGAAAAGTGTGTGTTCGGGGTATCAAGTGGAAAATTCCTCGGATTTATGTTGTCGGCAAGGGGTATTGAGGCCAATCCTGATAAATGCATGGCAATCGTCAACATGGTAAGCCCCAAGAACCTCAATGAAGTCCAGAAATTAGCAGGACGCCTTACAGCTTTATCAAGGTTCCTCCCCTGTTTGGCCGAATTAGCTAAACCCATTGTTGGTTTGTTAAGAAAGGTTAAGAAGTTCGAATGGTCTATCGGATGTGAGGAGGCTTTCCAGACTTTGAAGGAGCGCCTCGGCTCACCACCTATTCTTTCCAAACCCGATCCCGAGGTACCAATGGTGGTTTATTTATGCGTATCAAATGATGCAATCAGCACCGTTCTGATTCAGGAAAAAGAGGGGCAACAACCCATCTACTTTATCAGTCGCATGTTACAGAAGGCTGAGACAAGGTATCAGCTTCTGGAAAAGGTGGCACTTGGGCTTGTTCACACTGCTCGGCGCCTCAGGCAGTATTTTCAGAGTCATCGTGTCGTTGTCCGAACTGACTGCCCCATAGCCAAAGTGTTGCGAAAACCGGAATTAGCAGGACGGATGATGGCTTCGTCTATTGAGCTATCAGAATTTGACATCAATTTCGAGCCACGAGGTCCGATCAAGTCTTAATACTTGGTGGATTTCGTTAATGAATTGCAACCGAAAGGTCATTTTGAGAATGACTTGTGGACGATGCATGTGGATGGCTCTTCGAACAGTCAAGGCAGTGGAGCAGGTATAGTCCTCGAGGGGCCAACGGGAGTGACTCTTGAGCAATCTTTGCGATTCGCGTTCAAAGCGTCAAACAACCAGGCCGAATACGAGGCACTATTGGCAGGGTTAAGACTTGTCCAAGAGATTGGGGCCAAACGATTGATATGTTGGACCGATTCGAAGGTCGTAGCAGAACAAGTAAATGATAACTTCCAGGTAAAAGATACCAGCTTGTTGAGATACTATCATTTGTTTCAACGAATGCGCAATGCCTTTGATGAAATCCAAGTAAAGCACACGCCAAGAGAGCATAACGAGCGGGCCGATCAACTAGCTCGATTGGCAACCATTACTCGGAAACCTGGACAGCTACGAACCACACTCCACCTTGACCTTGCAACTCCGAGTGTAATTTCTGCCGAGTGCATGACGGTTGAGGAACCAACCAGAACATGGATCACAGAAATAATAGATTACCTTGAGCAGGGCAAAGAACCATCTGACCTTTCAGCCGCCAAAAAACTCCGAACACAAGCAGCTAGGTATTCGATTGTGGGAGGCGACCAGAGGTTTTGCAGTTCCGTTATTGAAGTGTCTCGATTCGATACAAGCGGACTATGTTTTAAGGGAGATTCATGAAGGAATCTGTGGTTTTCACTCGGGAGGAAGAACCTTAGCTGCAAAGGTGCTTCGGGCAGGGTATTACTGGCCAACCCTTAAAGATGATTGTGCAAAATTTGTTAAGCATTGCATCTCGTGCCAACGGCACGAAAACCTCATCCATGCTTCGGCTGAAGAGCTAGATGGCATCAGCTCACCCTGGCCATTCGCAATGTGGGGAATGGATATCCTTGGACCATTCCCAATCGCTAAAGGCCAATGCAAGTTTTTGTTAGTGGATGTGGATTACTTTACAAAATGGGTGGAGGCCGAACCATTAGCTAGTATCACAGCTGCCAATGTCCAAAAGTTTTTATGGAAGAATATCATTACCCGCTTCGGCATCCCGCATGCTCTTATCATTGACAATGGTCTACAATTTACCGATCAAAAACTTAACCGGTTTATTCAAGATCTTGGCATTAAGCACAGGTTTACGTCAGTAGAGCATCCACAGTCCAATGGTCAAGCCGAAGTGGCTAACAAGGTAATCCTCACCGAGTTAAAGAAAAGGTTGGGAGATGCTAAAGGAGCTTGGGCCGAGGAATTGTTGGAAGTCCTTTGGGTGTATCGCTGCACGCCCTAGTCCACAACTAGGGAGACACCTTTTCGGCTCACATACGGTACCGACGCCATGATTCCGGTCGAAGTCGGGGAACCATCCTTTCGGCGTCAATATTTTGATGAGAATGCTAATGAAGCATCACTCCGAGCCGAAATAGATACCATTGAGGAAGTCCGCACCAAGGCCCAAATCATGGCTGAGGCATGCAAGCAGAGGATGACTCGGAGATTTAATTCCAATCTCATTAAGAGAAGTTTCAAAGAGGGAGATTTGGTATGGAGAGTTCAAGGGACGACAAGACGTAATCCACGAGAAGGCAAATTGGCAGCAAATTGGGATGGCCCATTTCAGGTCCGACAGAGCCTCGACAACGGCGCGTATAAACTTGAAGAACTCTCGGGCAAGGTCATCCCAAGAACATGGAACGCGTCGCATTTGAAGACATACTATAGTTAGTCTTTGTAATACAATGATAATGTAATCGCAAGGGTGCACTCTTTTCCTTGATCGGTCTTTTTTTTTCCTCTTATAAAAAAGTGAAAAGGGGTTTTTGGCCGACAAGGTTTTTAACGAGGCACCCTTTAATGAAATGCAGTTCAATTCTTCCCTCTCATCATTATTCTTACTTTAAAAACAAATTACTAAAAAAAAAAGGCTTCCCTCCCGAGTTGATCAACTCAGCCAAGGATGTGCCTTCGGAAAATCATGCAAAAAGGCTTCCCTCCCGAGTTGATCAACTCAGCCAAGGATGTGCCTTCGGAAAATCATGCAAAAAGGCTTCCCTCCCGAGTTGATCAACTCAGCCAAGGATGTGCCTTCGGAAAATCATGCAAAAAGGCTTCCCTCCCGAGTTGATCAACTCAGCCAAGGATGTGCCTTCGGAAAATCATGCAAAAAGGCTTCCCTCCCGAGTTGATCAACTCAGCCAAGGATGTGCCTTCGGAAAATCATGCAAAAAGGCTTCCCTCCCGAGTTGATCAACTCAGCCAAGGATGTGCCTTCGGAAAATCATGCAAAAAGGCTTCCCTCCCGAGTTGATCAACTCGGCCAATCTTCAATGCAGCGCAATTCTGAGTGAATCCATTCCGTCTTGCTTAGAAATCAACGCAATTCCGAGTGCATCCACTCGGTCTTGCTTAGAAATCAACGCAATTCTGAGTGCATCCACTCGGTCTTGCTTAGAAGACTAGTTTGGATTTCGGTTGCTTTTACCAAATTATGGGCTACCGCAGTTTTTTAACCTATTTAACAGTATTATTTATAATAAATTTTAATTAAGCCTTAATTGAGGTATGTTAAAGACTGTGTTTATAACACTTGATTAATTATCTTACGCTGAATTAATCAATAAATCGCTAACGGATTTGAAGCCCATTGTAAACTGCTCGCATGAGCTTAAGAATTGTGCTTATAAGAAGCAGACACAAGTTGAAGTAAAGGATTTTCCTGTGATTCTCTCAAGCCATCCATTGTACTTTTGCCCGTAAAGCTAAAGCAAAGTGACAAGAACAAGCAGGAAAAGTGAAAAATAGAACATGCAATGTCAGCTTTCATTGATTAGTATTTAGTTGTCTTGGAACTTAGATACATCAATCTTTTAGCCTTGTTTAGAATATTTATAGTTTAAAGTTTTAAAATTTTTAAAAATTACAATCAATTTTTTTGTTTTATTATTTTAAATTGTTAGTTTTAAAATAAATTTACTTTAAAAGTTTTTTATCCTATTAAATTTAATTAAGAGTGTATTAATTACTAAGGCGAAATTGATGATTGTAGATTTGTACGTAGTGTTGATAATTGTGATGTCGGTATTGAAATCGGTCATGCTACTAGTAGCTAGTGATGATGGTTAATAGCATTAGGCCTCTAAAGTAAAGAACTTTTAGTTGATGGAATAATATAGGAAAGAAAAGTCAATAAAATAGATTTGTAACCTTGAGAAAAGAATTGGTTCTGCAAGTTGGACAGAAGAGTCTTAATAGTAATGTTGGTGGTGATGACAATCATCCTGATGCTTATGATACTGATACTAGTGAAGATGTCTATGGTGGTGGTTGTAACATTCCAATTTGTTAGTCAAATAGCCTCAATTAACTTAAGGAGGGGAGTGAATTAAGTTTTCCAAACTTTTCTCTTATAGAACTTTTCTGAATTACTTTCTTACAAATTCAACTTATTTCCTTAGACAAATTTGTATGTAAAGATTGATGATGTAGAACAACTCAAACACAATTAAATAACAAATAAATAAAAGTGTGGGGAAGAAGAATTGCAAACTTGATTTTATACTGGTTCGGCCAATCCTGCCTACATCTAGTCCTCCAGTCTCCCACTTGAGATTTCCACTACCCTTGTAAACCTTACAAGACTTGAATCCTCCAACATCTCGGAACTCCCTTTCCTTATGTTGAGATTCAAAAACCAACAAGGAGAAAAACTCTTTCTCCTTTATAGATCCAATGATTAATTGAGTTTTACAGAATGACTCTCTTTGAAGAGTAAATATTACACTTTGATGATCTTAAAGAACTCTTAAGAGATTTTGCAAATGACTTTGGCCAAGTAGTTTTTGTAAATGATTTTCACAATAGAGTTCGTAACCCTCCTCTGAAAAATTATATGTATTTATAGACAATTGTTTCTTAGGTTATGTCTTTTCATGAAGAGTTGTAACTTTCTATTATTTTTCAGAAAATAGGCTCTGGTAATCGATTACAAGACTTGGTAATCGATTACAACGGTTTAAGTTTAAAATGTTTGAAACATTGTATAATTTAAATTCAAATTTTGAAGTTTTATCTTCTGGTAATCGATTACAATGACTGGTAATCGATTACTAGAGAACCTTTTAACATTTCAATTTTGAACAAAGAAGTTTTCATCTTCTGGTAATCGATTACATGTCCTGGTAATCGATTACCAGACTGATAATACCAAAATTAGCTTTATGAAAACTTAAGATATAGAAAGCTTCTATTTTCCAGTTAAAAACACTACTAGAAAAATTAAAATTAGAGAGGAAACAAATCCGTCACTAATATTTATAAACATTTATTGTTAGAAATTAGTGACGGAAAATATAATGTTTGTGATGCCTTAATTTCGTCACTAATTGTGACGGACGAAATTATCTGTCACTAAATATTTTGTGATGCCAATTTTTGTGACGGAATCATTTCCGTCACAAATTCCGTCACTAATTTATTTGTGACGGATTTTATAAAGATTAATAAAAATCTGTCGCAATTTGTGACGCCCCTAACTCCGTCGCAATTTGTGAGGGACTAAATCCATCGCAATTTGTGAGGGACTGTCTCCGTCACAAATTTGAGAGGGATTGAGAGGTATGTGTGTCAGTCACAAATTGTGATGACGAATAAAATCTCTCACAAATTGTGATGAATAGAATCCGTCACAAACTGTGATTACTAGTATCCGTCACAAACTGTGATGTCTAGAATTGACTAGAATCCGTCACAATTTGCGACGACTAAAGTCCGTCACAAACTGTGATGACTAGTATCCGTCACAAACTGTGATGACCAGAATTGACTAGAATCCGTCACAATTTGCGACGCCAAAAATCCGTCACAAACTGTGATGACCATAATTGACTAGAATCCGTCACAATTTGCGATGGATAAAATCCGTCACTAACTGTGATGACCAAAATCCGTCACAAACTGGGATGAATTTCCGTCACAAACTGTGATGACTAGAATCTCTCACAATTTGCGATGAATAACTGCGAAATCTGTCACAAACTGTTGTGCTGAATAAAATCCATCAGTGATAAATAAAATCCGTCACAAATTACAAATTATTTTTTCGTAAATTTGTAAAGAATATATTTTTCTCCTGTAATTGTGATATAATTTTTTAATTATGAATATAACAAATAATTTATTAATGAATCAAAAAAGTTGAATTTATTGTCTATTTGTTTAAAAAATTAACAAAATAAATAATTAAAAATTTGTCAATTCTATAAAAGCATGTAACTAAACACAAACATAAGAAAGTCAAGCATACCATAGATACAAATAACACCCAATATAACAAAGTTTATGACTTTAGTTGATCCCTAATGTATGATAAGTACTATAGTAAAACTTAAACATAACAAATTATAAGTTTAAAGCATAGTAAACATAATAGTAAAAGATAATGCATCCCTAAACATCTATATCATGATCATCATCTAACTCATTATCATCAGATTGTACAATGTCAGCATCATGTGTAGGAGGAGGTTGGGGAGGACGAGAAGATTGAGAAAACATCTCCATAAATTGCTTCAGTTGCTCACGAACCAACCGAGACTCTTCCTGTGAAGCACGAATCAAATCTGCATGGCTTTGCAATTGTTCTTTCAATGATTTGTTTTCTTCAGACAAATTTGAAACAAGATTTTTCATTTGTGCATACTCAGGAGTTGAGATACCCTCTAAGAATGTAGAAGAAGAAGGTTTATACTTCCCAGCCTCTGAACCTAAACCAAATATTCTTCCTTTATCGTTCACACCACCAACAACATCATAGAAAATACTATTTTCAGATTGCACACTAGAGGCAGCATGATCTCCCGATAACTGTTGTGACTCTCTTTCAGATAACCGTCTTTCATACTCATTCTATAAAAAGAAAAGTAAGAAACAAAAGTATATAAACATTAATAATGACAATAGAAGATCTCATGAATGTCATGAATGATGCAAAGAATCATGCAAGAAGAACACACAAAAATACTTAGTAAAAAGTTTAAGATGTAACTTATGAGCAACACATCACTAGATAAGTATGAATTGCAATGAAATTAGTAACTTGTAAACCTAGATGCAACACCACATACACATGAATCTCATTGAATTTAGCAATTAGTAAAGTAAGATGTAGAGATGATAGCACTTCACATTACATGAAACTAAAATTGAGCACAACCAATAAGGTGAAATGATTCTATGTTCACATAATTCAGTAAAAATTTCAAATCATATAAAAAAATTACATACTATAAATGGTATAGCTTGCAATTTTGAGACCATTAACTGTAACCTATCTTAATATGTCAAGTCGACAGTGAAGGACAGAACATGACAACTTTGACAGTACCATAACCATTGTTGAAACATAACCATTGTTCTGTCTCTAATATAACCATTATATGTCAAGTCTTGCAAACATAATCATTATTATCTCTCTAACAGAATCAATCAAGTTCTTCATAATTCAATATATATAAAATTATAACTTACCGCTATCCTTTCTGCCTTGGAAGACACCCATGTATTCCCGTTTGCTGTCTTATGGGTCTTTTGGAATAGGTCCCAACATGTTGGAGTCATATCTGTAGATATTTTCTGAAGGAACAAAGAGTAATATAGTTTAATTTTAAATTTTGCTCCTGAAAAGAATAAGTAAATATTACTTACCAATCTCTTAAAATGCTCAGAAGTAGGAATGGATCCTCCAGTATGCAATGAACCATCAGAAGAATTTCTATTATTAGCATTAGTCATTGACTTATGTTTCCAATTCTCATCATTCCATTTTTGTTGAAGTTCTACAAGTTTTTGCTTTGGAATCCAACTCCCTTGATCAATGCCTCGTCGCACCCTATACATAGCATTTGAAAGCCCTTCAGATGCTTTATGGTCAAATGCTTTTCTTATTTGTGCATCATGATCAGGCAGCCACTTGAACTTTCTTTACATAAAAAATTTATAAAATATTATTTAAACAATGCAATTTAATGCAATGAAAAATATAAAATGGTTATTATAATATTTGTAGTTCTTTATACCTGAAACTCTTCAAACCACATGTTTGCCACACCTTCATTAGTGCTTTTAACCTCTCCATATGATTCCCATGACCCTTCAAACTTCCCTTTGATTATTCTTGAAATTTCACGGGTAGGGTGAATTGGTGGGTCGAATCTATAAAAATAAAATAGAAGAACTAAAATAACTTATAACACGAAACATGTTTATATTGATCTAAAAGAAAATAATTATTCATACTTACGTGTTTTGTGGACCTGGGCGAATCCAAATACGTCCATCAGAGTCAAAGCTTCCAATTTCTAAAGATGGATCAATAGAGGATGATGATCCAACAATTGGACTACCAGTAGCATCAATGGAGGGATTTGTTTGTGGTCTTTCAATCATATTTGGGAATTGTGTTAAAGGAACATGAGGGGTAGGTATAGACTGGTTAGTTTGAGGAACTAAATGTGGTTGGGAAGTGGAAGTAACATGAGGGGTAGGTGTAGCTTGGTTACTTTGGGGAGTTGTAGGTGTTTGGGAGGTGGAACCATGTGTAGGTTGTGTAGTACAATGAGAGGGTTCTCCAATAGAATGTATTGGCTGAGAAGTAGAAGGTGGTGGCACAATGGTGGTACCTCTACCTCTCCCTCTTCCCCTACCTCTACTAATACCTCTACCAGTGCCTCTCCCTCTTCCTCTATCAGTCATGTTATTGCTCATAATCTATACACACAATGTAGAACATTAACAAATAAAGTTTATTAAGACATCAATAATAAGTTCAAGATTAACAAATAATATCTACTATATAGTAATATATGCATATCCACAACAACCACAAGATTATGACATCAAAGTCTATTAATGCACACATATCAACAACAATTACAACATTACTTGATGTGAATATGAAACATGAAATTAAGTTAATTCTTCTTCTTCTATTACATAAAAGAGTCAATATGAAACATGAGATTAAGTTAATTTGAATCTATATCTTCATAAGTTTCATCATAATCGTCTTCATTACTTGATGTCAATTGTATGTCTTCTTCTTCTTCTTCTTCTTCTTCTTCTTCTTCTTCTTCTTCTTCTTCTTCTTCTATGTCATTTGGAACTTCCTCCGCTATGCCCATACTATCAACAAGACTTTGTTGAAAATCATCATTTGAAACAACTAAAGGCATTTGTTGTAGATCATCATCTTGGTAAGCAACATTTGTTTATAATTTATCATTTCCTAATAATTGAATTATATTTGTTTCAAATATAAATCCGTCAAAAATTTCCGACGGAAACTTTCTGACAGAAAATTCCGTTGGAAATTTTCGACAGATTTATTTTTTCGTCAGAAATTTCTGACGGAATATTCTGTCAAAAATTTTCGACAGATTTCTATTTCCGTCAGAAATTTCTTATTTTTAATTTTTATTTTAAATTTCTTATTAAATTTTACTAATAATTAATATAAAAAATTTAATTAGTTTTGGAATAAATTATTTGCTAATTAACAATATAATTGAAACTTTAATTATTTTAAATTATTTAACTAAAATCTTATTGACAATTTATTATATGATCTTAATATTTTTGTATAACTAATATTTGGTTTTAAATTTGATATAAGAATATTATATATAATTAGATAAGATTTTAAGTTAGTATTTTATTAATAGTTGATAATTAGAAAATAAAACAAGGATAAATACATTTTTTTGAATTTTATATGTTTGATTTAAGGTAAATAAATATATTAAATTAATTAATAATTTATTTATAATTTTATAAATTATATTATCATTATAAATTATAAAATTAAATAATTTAAATTATAATTTTAAATAGAAATAAGTATATGTTAATTATAAAAGTAAGTACATATAAATAAAGAATAATTAAATATATTATTGTTATTATTATTATTATTATTATTATTATTCATAATATAAAATTATTATATATTATTATTATTATAGTACAAATATCATATTGTATGTTTGAGGATGACTTAAATGAATTAATTTGTACAAGTTATACTGACAGTGAAGGATAAAACACGCTAAACACGCTAAACAGTGAAATATCGTGAAATAAACCCTTAAGAGGCCAAATATGAGGATTGTTACATTAATAAATTTATTAAAATTAAAAAATATATATATAATTTCTGACAGAAAATTCTGTCAGAAATTTTTGACGGATTTTTCTATGGAAATTTCTTACGTATATTTCCGTTAGAAATTTTCAACAAAATTTTCCGTCAAAAATTTCTGTCAGAAAAATTATTTTCGACGGATTTTTTTTCCGACGCCACTTTTTTCGACAAAATGAAATTCGTCGAAAATCCGTCGAAAAAAGAAAAATCCGTCAAAAATTTACCTGTTTCCGTCGGAAATCAGCATTTTTCTTGTAGTGTGGTGTGCTCATGGGTCCTCCAACATCTGTAAGTATTAATTGCAGCTTTTGTGAAGCCCTCCAAGCATTATTTTGTGGAAAAGGGAGCCTTGTTTGCTTCCCATATTGGCGACCAGTACATTCAGGAACTTCTTCATCTAATTTAGGGAAGCTTTTGCAAGATTTTTCTTCTTCATAAAGGTTAGAGCATTATGATGGAAATGGCCCAATCTCTTGTGCCAAAGTTTTGTACTACTAACCTCTTTGTGTACTACAACTTGCTCCTTGTTCATGAAATCCAAGGCAAAGCTTTTGCCTTTCATTTGAACTTTGAACACCTCTCTGCCTTCTAAGTCTTTAATCATGGGCAAAAATACATTTTTCGTCCCTTATATTATTTATTAGTGTCAATTAAGTCCCACTTTAATTAATTGAATCAATTTAGTCCCATATCTTTAAAATGTATCTCAATGTTTGACCTTCCATTTCTTCCGTTTAAATACTTAACAGATCTGACACGTGGCATGACACGTGGCATGATGACATGACACGTGTCATGTCATCACGTCATGTGTCATATCATCATGCCACATGTCATGATGTCATGCCACGTGACATGATAGCATGACACATGGCATGACACGTGTCACACCGTTAAGTATTTAAATGGAGGAAACGAAAGGTCAAATATTGAGATACATTTTAAAGATGTGGGACTAAAATGATTCAATTAATTAAAGTGAGACTAAATTGACACTAATAAATAATATAAGGGAAGAAAAATGTATTTTTGCCCATGATTAAAGACTTAGAAGGCAGAGAGGTGTTCAAAGTTCAAATGAAAGGCAAAAGCTTTGCCTTGGATATCATGAACAAGGAGCAAGCTGTAGTACACAAAGAAGGCTCCCTTTTCCACGAAAAGTATATTTTTTCCTTAATCATGCAATTTTTGTCTTCAAACAACACCTTATATCCTTTTTCCAGTAACTAAGGAACACTCAAAAGGCTTTGATTGATTTCAGGAACATATAAAATATCATAAATTAGTTTCAAACCTGTGTGGCCTTTAATTTCCACAGTTCCTTTGCCTTTCACTTCAATGTATGCTCCATTTCCAATCTTGACTTTTGAGAGAACAATTTTATCAAGTTCTCTGAAGAGATCACGATCATAAGTCATGTGGTTTGTACAACCACTATCAATGAGCCAACTTTTTGTAGAGCTATTGGTAGAAAAGCATGACAAAGCAAACAAATGCTCATCTTGTGGTTGATCCTTAGCAACCTTGAATTCTTTTTCTTACTGTTGTTGAGACTTGCATATCATTTCTAGGTGCTCTAACTGACCACACTTACGACATCTTGCATCTAGCCTCCACCAACACCTTTTTTTGTGGATGATTAGTTTTTTTACAATGAGGACAAGGTGGATAAATCTAATTATTGCTGCTTTGATTGTTGTTTTGCTGTTTGCAAAACCTACATGCTTGTTGCTATTATTGATTTGCAGCTTGTCTTGAAAGGCACCCTCTATAGATTCTTCTTGCCTCATAAGCCTTATCTGCTCTTGTGCCTTCAATGCATGTAACACTTTTGCCAATTTGATTGTACACAGATCTTTTGTGCTCTCCAAGATAGCTATAGAAGCTTCATATCTTTACAATATTGTTATAAGAATTTTTTGAACAATTCTAGAATCAAGAAATTTTGTGCCCAACAATCTGATCTTATTGGCAATGCTAAGCAATTTGTTTAAGGACTCTTTGATTGTCTCAGACTTTTTTATTCTCTATAACTCAAATTCCCTCATTAAATTTAGCACCTGCATGCTTTGTATCCATTTATCTCCTGCATATTCTTCTTTCAGGTAATCCCAAATTGCTTTTACTATTTTGAGGGACATGATTCTGGCGAAGATGGTTTTTGAGACACAAGCAAATAGACATGCCTTTGCCTTCTTTATATTTTTTCTTTTTGATTTTTAATCTAGGGCATTGTGGGATTGTCTAGCAGTAAAGGAACATCATAATCTTCTTCCACGGGTTCCTAGAAATCTAAAGCCTCCATGTGGGATTCCATTCTCACAACAAAAAGCTCATAGCTTTCTCCATCAAAGATACGAGGAGCAATCTATGAAAAATTTGCTTCAGCATCCATTTCACAAATCCTGTAAGAACACAACTCTGATTACCAATTTGTTGGTTATTAAAATAACATATAGGGGGTGGAACAAGAGGGAACAAAAGGGAAATTGAATTTGTCGAAGGCATATGTTTTATTGAGCTTCAAATCATGTACTTATACATAAATAAGGAAGATAAAAGGGCAAAAAATCTGCTACTGATAAACATATCATATGCCTAAAAATAGGAAATCAAATATTCTGATCCTAACAAATATTTGACTCTTTATTGCTTAAAAATTAGGAAAATTAAAAATTGATTTGGCAGCTTCACTAGTTATCAATGGGGATTTGGCTGCTATTAAAAGAATAGATGGTGATGTGTCAAAGGAGATAGAATTTTTTACCAAAGTGAACCATTCCAATGTTATACGGCTTTCTGGAGTTTGCTTTAACGAGGGCTATTGGTATATTGTTTGAGTATGCTGCTAATGGAAACTTGAGTGAGAAGATCCACGGGAAAGTTTGAGTTGGACAGAAGAATGCAAATTGCGTTGGATATGGCCACAGGACCTGACTATCTTCATAGTTTGACTTCTCCATCCCATGTACACAAGGATCTGAAGAATGATAACATTTTTCTAGATAGTGATTATAGGGCGAAGGGTGACCAATATGTCATGAAATGCACATTGTTGGGACAAGAGGGTACATGGCTCCAGAGTATTCGAAAAATGGTCTTGTGTCTTCAAAGCTTGATGTCTATGCATTTGTGGTTCTGATTTTGGAAATGATCAAAGGAAAATAGGTTACTGAAATTTATGAAGAATGTGATAATGTGAATGTTAGATGTTTTAAGCATGGTACTTGATGAGGAAGGTGAATAAGAGAGGTTGAGGGAGTTCATGGATCCCTCTCTGCATGGAAATTATCCAATGGAACTTGTTGTGTTTGTGGCTAGAATGATCGACACTTGTTTAAAGAAAAATCCAGCAAATCACCCTGACATGCACGAGATTTTGTCATCTATGTCCAAAGCCTTGGAGTCTTCATTGAGATGGGAAATGTTCGTGGAAAGGACGTTTTGATTCAATAAAGGGTATAGCTCAATTCCCTATTTTTTCTTTCTTGTTTCACTAGAAACTAGTTTTTTGTTTAATTTTAACTATATTAAGATTATTTTTTTTAAGATCTTTTTATCAAATCTAAGATTTGAATTTGAAACCTTGAAAATTGATAACCAAATGTAATTAAAAACAAAAATTTAAGACTGTCAGTGAATTTGTAATTTTGTATGATATTTAAGGTGGAGAAATAATAATTTATTTTAGTTTTATTAATTTTTATGTGTATTTTAGTTTCATTATTTGAATATATAACTCTACCCATCACTTATTTTTTCCCTTTTTTTATATATACATCTTAAAAATACTCTTTTTTGCATTGGTCAAAGAATGTAAGTGTCATATTCTGAAATCAGCCAAATCAATATGATTCTGGCAATCAACGTATCAATATTCTTTGATCGAATATCAGGTATCACATTTGCAAGTTGCATATTAATGAGATAAATAAATTTGAATTAATTGATGAGTTTGTTATGAGATGATAATATGATAGAAAGGGATAAAGTTTGTTTTAGGTTGTTATAATACCACCTTATCAGCTTATATATACTTCATGTAATCATTC